AACTGGACAGTAAATTTCACCATGGCCCCTAAGATGAAGTCTGAATCTTGCACTGGAGATTGTGGCAAGAAAGGCTCTTACTTTCGAACTCTATTTGTTTTCACTGTTGCACATAAACCTGTCTGTATCTGTCTGCCTGTATATCTGTGTCTGTCTTTCTGTCTACCTGTGTGTCTGTCTTTGTCTACCTGTGTGTCTTTCTGTCTACCTGTGTGTCTTTCTGTCTACCTGTGTCTTTGTCTACCTGTGTCTTTGTCTACCTGTGTGTCTTTCTTTCTGTCTACCTGTGTGTCTGTCTTTCTATATGTGTGTCTGTCTTTATGTCTACCTGTGTGTGTCTTTCTGTGTGTCTGTCTTTCTGTCTACCTGTGTGTCTGTCTTTCTGTCTACCTGTGTCTGTCTTTGTCTACCTGTGTCTGTCTGTCTGCTTGTCTGTCTCAGAGCCACTCATTAAGAGTGTACTTGGTCTTGAAGATGCCATATTAATAATGATGATAATAATAATCACTGAGGCACATTAAATGTGTATAAAACGTTAATATAGACATTTTGCTTAATCCATCTATGATTTTTTTTTTCAAAATTATATAATAAACATGCTACATAACATATAAACATTGTTGCTGGTAACAACAACAACAACAACAACAACGTTTGTTTACATAATTCGTGAACCTTCTACACTCTCATTCTCTCTCTCGTTTATTCATTTAATCTTGTTTACTCACCTCTCACTCTACATTAAGACTTCAGATATTTTAAGGTAAGTAATGAGTGGACACGATGATTATATTATACGTAGTTTAATAATAATATTATTATTAATATTAGTACATATGTATTATTGTAATAATAATAATAATAATAATTATTATTAATATTATTATTAATTTAAGGCACTGGAGCACAGATCTACTGTATAGCACTTTGTCTGGATTTTTTGGGTTATCCTAGGTAATTTATACTATGTATGATAACTTCACTTACGTGTACCTGAGAGAGAGAGAGAGAGAGAGAGAGATAGATAGAGAGTGATAGATAGATAGATAGATAGATAGATAGATACTGTATGCGATGTAAAATTTACAATACAGTTCACTACCATGTATACATTATATACAGTACATAAATAATTAAAATATAACAGTAGAAGTAAATTATGGTAAAAAGAATGAAATAATGATTGTACATTACATTACAGTATTATGTAGGTAGTTTATATAGGAAAGGTTTAACATTATGCCCTACCCATTATGTCGGCAATTTTCAAAGGTTCGACTTACGTCCATTTTGACTTACGACCGGTTGGTCGGAACAAGATTGGTCGTAAGTCGGATGGTACCTGTATTACATACCTTTATTGGTGGCTAATGCTGGCTTCTGGAAGATAGGGAGGAGGAAAGAGGGAGGAGTTAGTGTTTGGAAGGGGAATCCCCCTCCATAAACACTTTAGATAGCAAAGCCTTCTCTGGGGTTACTTCCCTTCACAAAATAATTGTCCAGAGTGCTCTGTTTCTGGCATCTCTTTAAGATTTCCCTGAAGTGGGACAGGGTTTTGTCACTAAACATGTTGCAGATATGGCTTGTTTCTGCTTTGTCAGGGTGGTGTTTCTCTACAAAAGCTTGCACCCTAGTCCACATTGCACACACCTTTAATCTCTGAAGAAGGCACCTCCTTCATTCCCTCTTCTCCTCCTCTGAAGCAAGTTCCTCAGCTGCAGTCTGTTGCTGTTCAAGATGAAGCTCTTGCAGCTCTTCAGTGGTTAGCTTTTCCCTGTGGTCCTCCACCAACTCTTCCACATCCTCGCCACTCACCTCCAACCCCAGGGACTTCCCCAGTGCCACAATAGAGTCCACAAGGCCGGCAGGGTCAAGGTCAGCCTCAAACCCTTCAAAATCCCTCTCTTGGACACAATCTGGCCACAGTTTTCTCCAAGCAGAGTTCAAAGTTCTGGAAGTCACTCCCTCCCAAGCCTTACCTATATGGCTTATGCAATGGAGGAGAGTGAAGTGATTCCTTCAGAACTGTCTTCGGGTCAACTGAGTGTCTGACGTCACTTCAAAGCACTTTTGAAACACTGGTTTTGTGTGGAGTTTTTTAAAGTTAGAAATGACCTGCTGGTCTATGGGCTGGAGGAGAGGAGTGGTGTTAGGAGGCAAGAACTTCACTTTTATAAAATTGAAGTCCCTAAACACTTGGTCTTCCAAGTCTGGAGGATGTACAGGAGCATTGTCCAGTAACAGGAGGCACTTGAGTGGCAATTTCTTTTCCAGGAGGTATTTTTTCACACTTGGGCCAAACACATCATTAACCCACTCTTTGAAAATTTGCCTTGTGGCCCTTGCCTTATGATTAGCTTTCCACATCACACACAATCTATTCTTCATGACATTGTTTTTCTTGAACACACTGGGCTTTTCTGAGTGATACACGAGTAAAGGCTTCACTTTGAAATCCCCACCAGCATTACCACACAACAAAAGAGTAAGCCTGTGTTTCATAGGTTTGTGTCCTGGCAATGCCTTTTCCTCCTAGATAATGTAGGTCCTGTTTGGCATTTTCTTCCAAGGCGCCTGTTTTGTCACAGTTGAACACTTGTTGGAGTTCAAATCCTTCAGCCTTTACATAATTCTGGAATTCGTGAACATACTTTTCAGCCATGCATTTGTCAGAACTTGCAGCCTCACCATGCCTTACAACACTGTGTATGCCACTACCCTTTTTAAATTTATCAAACCATCCTTTGCTGGCCCTAAATTCACAAACTCCAGCACTTCTTCCAGGCATTTTCTTTGCAAGATCCTCATGCAACTGTCTTGCCTTCTCACAAACAATGGACTCCACAACACTGTCTCCCACTAATTCTTTTTCCTTAATCCACAATAATAATAACTTTTCCATCTCTTCCATTATTGGTGGCCTTTGTTTAGTTAGACATGTTACTCCTTTTGCAACATTAGCATCTTTGATTTGTTCTTTCTTTGCCAGGATGGATGCAATTGATGATTTATTCTTGCTGTACATCCTGGCAACTTCCACCACCTTCATACCACTTTCAAACTTTTCTATCACTTCATGCTTAAATTCCATGGTGTTTCTCACTTTCTTTACCACAGGAACTCTCTTTGGAGCCATGGTTACTTATTTCACAGTTGCACTGCAAAAAACCAATAAAGGTATGGGAAAACAAGCAAATGTTTAGGATGTATGAGCAGGAAAGCTTCCTCAGTACGAGAAGACAAGGCCAAGCTGATGCGCAAGCGGCCCGTGGTGGTGACGCGTCCCAACACGGCCGATAACTGAATTAACAGACGATAACGGGGTGCCGAAAAAACCAGGCTGATAACTGCGTTGGCCATTAAACAGAACCCGGCCGATAATACCGGGGGTCCACTGTAATTGGATTTACATTATTTCTTAGGGGTAAATACTGCTTGACGTTTCGCAGTTTCGACTTTAGAACTGCTCCTGGAACAGATTTAAGATCGAAAACTTGGGGGTACCACTGTAATTTATATTTATATATTTTGGAGTGGAATGTGTTGGCAGATGGAGCATTTATACGCTCAGGTGGGGGAGTTACAGAATAGATGGAGGAAAGAAGTAGCTGGAGTGTTTGTGAATATTTTTTTCAGCAGATACAAAAGTTTAATGGTGTCAGGAGTTTTTGTTGGTTTTTGAAATGTTTGCAGCGAGGAGGAGGTGGCTGGAAGTAGTGGATGTATGTTGGAGATCAGTGAGTGGTGTGGGAAAACTGTGCTGAGCATAAGGACATGAAACAATGATGTGGAAATATTAGTTATTCTTGCATGGAACAGAAGGAAAAAAAAGGTTTGTTTGCATTTGGTTGTGATGACGACAGAAGCCTTGCCACAATGTTGGTAGCAGCTTCATCTGGATGATCAGGACTTGATAAGGAAGTCTTGCCTCAGGGAACTTCGGGATAGAAGTGCTCCTCAAAATATTCTCTTGGATGTCATAGGATGATTCAAGATAATTTAGTTGAAAAGGATGGGGAAGGGGCTACAAATTCCGGGGTGATGAAAGGTGTGGATAGAGATTGGGAAGGTTTTGAGAGGTCACGGGGCATGATTGTCTAAGGAAAAAAAGAAAGAAAAGAAAATTTCATGTGTCTTTTGGGTCCTTTGTCTTTGCTGTACTCTCCTATTTGGGGTGTGCAGAGGTTGATTTCTCGGATCCAGTCCTTCTTTACCACTTGGCACACTTCCGATTCACTCCCTCTTAGCCTCTTGGGGCCCTTGTCGTAACCTGCTCTTAAAACTATGTAGGGAACTTGCCTCCTTCTCTTACTCACCACAGGTTCATCCCATTCCTGGAACCACTCTTAATTAACTGTCCAAAACGTTATCTGCGTTCGCTCACATAGCACTCCGAATGTAGATCCACGTTTTTTACATGCTTTCTTATGGAGAAAATCAAAGTTGGAGCACTACGCACGCAAACGTAGATCTATGTTTGGACAGTTTAAGGGTTAAGATTCAAGAATTATTTCCTAACATCCCTGTGGCTCATCTGTGCCGTTAACTTCCAATGGTGTCACCAAGTTCCTGTTTCTCACCTCTCAAATAACCTATTCCAGTCTGCCTTATCAATTCCCTGGTGATTTTATTTATCATGTCCACCTTGGTTCTTCTGTCCTCCAATATTGTTAGGTCCAGTTTCATAAGCATCTCATTGTAGCTCATTCTCTTTAGCTCAGGAATAGTCCTCGTTGCATACTTCTGCACTTTCTCCAGTTTCTTAACTTGCTTTTTCAGTTATGGGTTCTATACTGGTGCTGTATGTTTGTATGTATGTGTATATATGTATACACCATGTATATTAGTTCAGAATGGAGGCAAGTGGTTTTTGCCATTTGATGGGCTGTAGGAGTATGAGCAAAGTAACATTTATGAAATGGATTTGGGGGAACTAGTTAACCAGACTATCAGTTATGCATTTTTTTTTTTTAATTTTTAATTATTGTTTCTCATTATAGTCAATAAAGAAAGCTTTGGCAGATGAAGCTGCTTTTCTCCAGAGGAGATACCCAACCTTAGCAAACCGTAATGGAACTCCATATCTAGCCAAGACTCTGAATAGATTGCTAATGCACCACATTAGAGATTGTCTCCCAGAGTTGAAGGTAAGTGACTCTTAATGAAGATAATTTTAATTGCATCAGAAGTTTTTAGGTATATGGCATGCTATTGAATTGTGAGCAAGATAACATGTATTAAGGGACTGCTAAATTGTCTTGCTGGACTGAGTTCTGGAGGTGAAGTGTTTGCACTCTGAAATACGTAACATTCTAGTGTATCCTTGAAATTGTGATATCTGTGCTCTTGTAGAAAGATGCCTATGAAGAAATCTATTAGTTTCATTACAAACACACTATGCACTCTTTCTTCTGCTTCAATTTTATATACTGTTTTTCATTGGCAATGCCACTTCTGGTCTCTGTTACAAAATAGACATAAATGCACTCAAAAACATACTTAACTGGATTGGAAAATTAATCCCATGTGTAAGAAACCTCTCATGTTATAAAAAGACTTGGACTTAGGAGAGGGGTGTCGATTGAAGTTTACAAAGTTGAAAAAAATTGAATTTAAATAAGGAGAGGTTAAACCAGTCTACAAAATATCTGACCAGGATAGGACTCATGTAAATAGATTCAGGTTAAATAAGTTAAGAGTTAGGATTTAGGAAAGCACAGGTTTGGCAGTAGATTTGTTGCTGAGCAGGACAAGCTACCAGGTAGCTTCATTGAAGCAAATACTGTACACTGAGTACCTTTAAAACTATAGTGGACAGGTACATGAGTGGGAGTGGTTGGATATAAGACCTTCCTGGCATAGGCAGTAGGCCTACTATGTTGCTCCTATTGTAGGAAACTTGTAAAAAACAGAGTGAATAGATTGGCTGAGTAGAACTTCAGTTGGGGTGGTAATGGTTGTTTGATTGCTAATTAATGTATTTTAAAATACATTTAAGTTCTGCTGTATACAAAGTCTGTTAAATGTCTTGGGAGAGAACACTAATCATATTAGAAAATAGGTGTTTATTTTTCATATAGTTATAATTTTATGAAAATAGAAAGGTAGTCACCCTACCTGATGGGAGACAACTGTGTGTTAAAAAAAATAAGGCGTGTAATCAGTGAGTTCTCTTACAATAATGATGTATAAAACGATTGTATGAGCTTTAAGTAGTAAGCTTCAGTGGTGAATTTCAACACTTCTGGCTTTATTCATTTATTTTATTCAGTGTGGTACAGGTTTAAAATGGAGCTTCTCACACACTTGTGTAGGTCTGTTTTTCCTAGATTTTTCTACTGTTTCTTAATATATTCACAAGCTACGTATATTGATATAAATTCATATAAGTAGAGTTAACGTTTTTTAAATAAGGTTTATACAATCAGCACTTTTGCAGGGTAGAAGTTACAGTACTGTGTATTTTAACCATTAAAGTGCTGTAGATAATTTCTTCAAAACTGTGTAACTTTTTTAAATTTGCATAGGGAAGGTTTCTTTTAAGGTTTGAAGTAGGTAACAATTACCCTTTCGTGTATTAGTTTATCATGAAAGAACACACTATCACTTGCTTGCTTTTGTTTTACCAGACCCGGGGGAGGTATCGATGATGATGTCTCAGTTTCCAATCACTACTAAACAGTTATGGTGTTGCTGTACATGACAAGGCACACAAACACTCTTACAAATTATCACAAAGTTTAAAGCTGCTTATTGTCGCAGACAATTGAGGGTACGGCCAGGAATATTGAAACTACTGATTGTAAGTTATTTCTTCATTACATTGGTGCTCATATAATGATCAGTAGATGGTGATTCCGGAGTTACTGGGTAGACAAATAGCTTTATAAGCTGTACACACCAGGTGTGAGGAGTACAGTTCTATTCTTGTATATATATTGTTTGTTAGGTAGGACACAATTGCAACAAGTTAGGTATCTTTATTTTGAAAACGTTTCGCCTACAACAGTAGGCTTCTCAGTCAGAGAACAGAAAAAGTTGATTGGAGCAGAGATACTTGAAGACGATGTCATCAGTCCATCACCCTTAAAGTTTTGAGGTGGTCAGTCCCTCAGTCTGGAGAAGAGCATTGTTCCATAGTATGAAACAATATGGAGATGAAGTGACAGGATGGAGCCTTATATAGCGCCAAGAGGTGAGACATAGGTCACTAGAAGAGGTAAGAACTCAGATGTTGGGAGGTCAGGTCCCTCTCAAATCCAGCCGTTCTCACTAGTAGAGGTTGGGTTGTCGAAGTTGATTGTAGGTCTGTACCAAGATACCCTTGTGTTGCAGTGTCTGACAGATTGAACATTAAAATGGTATAAAATACCGACAGGTTGTTAGGTAAGACACATATGCAACAGTTAGGTATCTTTATTTCGAAACGTTTCGCCTACACAGTAGGCTTCTTCAGTCGAGTACAGAAAAGTTGATAGGAGCAGAAGATACTTGAAGACGATGTAATCAGTCCATCACCCTTAAAGTTTTGAGGTGGTCAGTCCCTCAGTCTGGAGAAGAGCATTGTTCCATAGTATGAAACAATATGGAGATGAAGTGACAGGATGGAGCCTTATATAGCGCCAAGAGGTGAGACGTAGGTCACTAGAAGAGGTAAGAACTCAGATGTTGGGAGGTCAGGCCCCTCTCAAATCCAGCCGTTCTCACTAGTAGAGGTTGTCGAAGTTGATTGTAGGTCTGTACCAAGATACCCTTGTGTTGCAGTGTCTGACAGATTGAACATTAAAATGGTATAAAATACCGACAGGTTTTTAGGTAAGACACATATGCAACAGTTAGGTATCTGAAGAAGCCTACTGTGTAGGCGAAACGTTTCAAAATAAAGATACCTAACTGTTGCATATGTGTCTTACCTAACAACCTGTCGGTATTTTATACCATTTTAATGTTCAATCTGTCAGACACTGCAACACAAGGGTATCTTGGTACAGACCTATAATCAACTTCGACAACCTCTACTAGTGAGAACGGCTGGATTTGAGAGGGACCTGACCTCCCAACATCTGAGTTCTTACCTCTTCTAGTGACCTACGTCTCACCTCTTGGCGCTATATAAGGCTCCATCCTGTCACTTCATCTCCATATTGTTTCATACTATGGAACAATGCTCTTCTCCAGACTGAGGGACTGACCACCTCAAAACTTTAAGGGTTATGGACTGATTACATCGTCTTCAAGTATCTTCTGTTCCTATCAACTTTTCTGTACTCGACTGAAGAAGCCTACTGTGTAGGCGAAACGTTTCGAAATAAAGATACCTAACTGTTGCATATGTGTCTTACCTAACAACCTGTCGGTATTTTATACCATTTTAATGTATAAATATTGTAAATGAAGGAGGGACATGAAGTACATTATTCAGGGAAGATTGAACAAAGACACTCATAACTGTAGGAATTGTAAAACAGCCATTTTTATTTTGAAATTACTTGTAGTAGGAGTAATAATCTTATGTTAAATTTATTCTAGTTGTAATTATTGCTTCCCAACAGATGTGGGGGTGCTCGTATTTGTTACATTTTCCACGAAACATTTGGCCGCACATTAGACAGTATCCATCCACTGGCTGGGCTTACACAAATGGATATTCTTACAGCAATCCGTAATGCTACAGGACCTAGACCTGCATTATTTGTTCCAGAGGTAAATTGCCTTCATGTTGATAATTGAATTTGAGTATTACTGTTTATAATATTGCCTGCCCTCTGAAGGAAGGGTGGAGATATGTTGGTTTTTCAGCTGTAGTGTAGGTGTGCCTCTGGCAAGACAGTGATGGAGTGAATGATAAAAGCGTTTCTTCTTTCATGGGTCACCCTGCTTTGGTGAGAAATGGCCAATGTGTTTATGAAAAAAAAAATTAAGTATGAAAGTTTCAGTGGGAAGAAATGTATGGGATTAGGTAAGGGGTATCTGAAAGAGTTAGAGCTAAGGAACAAGTAGCAATAATGTTGAAGGATCAGTTATGGCAGGAAAAGAGAGAATATAAATGTATAACTTCAAGGATTATGTGGAGTAACATAAGGGTAGGATGCAAAAAAAATGGGTTGTACTAAGTGTTTATGCACCTGGAGAAGAGAGGAGTTTAGAGGAGAGAGAGAGAGATTTTCGGAGATGTTAAGTGAGTGTTTAGGAAGTTTTGAATCTATTGGGAGAGTAATTGCGGTGGGAACCTAAATGCTAAAGTGGGAACAACTGTTGTAAAGAGCGTTGTAGGTAAATTTGGGATGTCAGGGGTAAATGGTAATGGGGGGGCCTTTGATTGAATTTTGTATAAAAGGAGGTTTGATAATGGGTAATACATATCTTAAGAAAAAAGAGGGTAAGTATACAAGATACATATATGGAGAGGATTAGTAATAACCAATACCATAATTGTTTAAAAAGCAATAAGTATAGGAGGCAGATGTAGGAGTCCTCCAACATCAGATTTTATTGGTTTGGGATGACCTAAGAGGGATGTTGTTAAAGATTTAAGCAACTTTGTCTAAAGATGTGTAATTTCACTTTTTTCTCTTCGTATTACTTCTGATCTCCAATAGAGTTTTGTAATTTGTCTCTAAATGTAATTCCTTTGCCTTGTATATTTAAACATAATTTATTACAGTATTACTGTACATTTGCTTTAAACAAAAGGTCCACTTACAGAATGGTTGCAGTTGAAATATTTATACAGTTTGTGTTTTTGGTAGGCTAATTTTTTTTTTGTGTCCAGGCTTTTATAATGATTCCCTATTAATTAAATGAGAGACATTTTTATTGTGCTGGTTTCCATTGTATGGCACAGCATGGTGATACTGCAAAAAATTTGTGGATACTATTTTTATGATATGAAAGGTAGGGGGAAGAGGTGGTCATTGGATCAAAATTGCTTTCATTAGATACTTAATTGAAATAAGTTTTGTTCTACATCTTTGATAGGTTTCATTTGAACTGTTAGTGAAGCGTCAGATTCGGCGCCTTGAAGAACCTTCCATGCGGTGTGTTGAACTGGTGCACGAGGAAATGCAGAGAATTATTCAGTTTTGTGGAACAGAGGTACAGTAATTATCAAAATAAATTTAAACTGGGGTCCTTATAATGTATGTATATAATAAACTTGAGAAATGTTAATGGAGGTTTACTCTTGAAAATTCTTAAGTATTTCAAACAAGTTGTGTAAGTCGAATGGTGGTATAAATTTGTGTTGTCTAGTCAGTATTTGTTGTACAGTTGGCTGTTGTACAGTTTTTCTGTATTTTATTGCTAATATTCTACATGGTATTTTAATATCAAGGTTCAACAAGAAATGCTCAGATTTCCAAAGCTTCATGAGAAAATTGTGGATGTTGTCACTCAGTTATTACGAAGGCGTCTTCCTCCCACCAATGCAATGGTATGCATTGATTAAAGTTTTGTTTTCCAAGTTGAATAGAATGTTTAATGATTGTACTGATTTTCCATTTCATGTATTAATATTCAGCCAGAGTATTGATCAGTTTTGAGGATATATTTCTTGTTTTTTTTTTTGAAGGTTGAAAATCTTGTTGCAATTGAGCTGGCCTACATAAATACAAAGCACCCAGATTTCCGCCCAGATGCATCGCTGGTATCTTCACTCGCAGGAGAGGAGGATAAGTCTCGCAACATTCCAGTTCGGCGTGCACATGGTAATGCACCCTCTACTTATGAACAGGAAATCAGGGAACAGTCTAAGGTAAGTAATCATTAACACCCCTCTGAAGGAGGGGTGTTAATGTTGCAGTTTAAAAACTGTAGTGTAAAGCACCCTTCTGGCAAGACAGTGATGGAGTGAATGATGGTGAAAGTTTTTCTTTTTTGGGCCACCCTGCCTTGGTGGGAATCGGCCAGTGTGATAATAATAAAAAATAATAAACTTCTTTTAATTTATAGTTTTACATTAATCTGTGCGAATGTTTTCCATAATTTTATTTGATATGTTGTGTTAACTTTTAAATTAATAAGTTTTCTTGATGTTATATTTGATTACATTGACAAAAGAGATTGTAAAAATTATAGAGGAATAAGTTTACTGAGTATACCAGGAAAAGTATACGGTAGGGTTATAATTGAAAGAATTAGAGGTAAGACAGAATGTAGGATTGCGGACGAGCAGGGAGGCTTCAGAGTGGGTAGGGGATGTGTAGATCAAGTGTTTACATTGAAGCATATATGTGAACAGTATTTAGATAAAGGTAGGGAAGTTTTTATTGCATTTATGGATTTAGAAAAGGCATATGATAGAGTGGACAGAGGAGCAATGTGGCAGATGTTGCAAGTATATGGAATAGGTGGTAAGTTACTAAATGCTGTAAAGAGCTTTTATGAGGATAGTGAGGCTCAGGTTAGGGTGTGTAGAAGAGAGGGAGAATACTTCCCGGTTAAAAGTAGGTCTTAGACAGGGATGTGTAATGTCACCATGGTTGTTTAATATATTTATAGATAGGGTTGTAAAAGAAGTAAATGCTAGGGTGTTCGGGAGAGGGGTGGGATTAAATTATGGGGAATCAAATTCAAAATGGGAATTGACACAGTTACTTTTTGCTGATGATACTGTGCTTATGGGAGATTCTAAAGAAAAATTGCAAAGGTTAGTGGATGAGTTTGAGAATGTGTGTAAAGGTAGAAAGTTGAAAGTGAACATAGAAAAGAGTAAGGTGATGAGGGTATCAAATGATTTAGATAAAGAAAAATTGGATATCAAATTGGGGAGGAGGAGTATGGAAGAAGTGAATGTTTTCAGATACATGTACTTGGGAGTTGACGTGTCGGCGGATGGATTTATGAAGGATGAGGTTAATCATAGAATTGATGAGGGAAAAAAGGTGAGTGGTGCATTGAGGTATATGTGGAGTCAAAAAACGTTATCTATGGAGGCAAAGAAGGGAATGTATGAAAGTATAGTAGTACCAACACTCTTATATGGATGTGAAGCTTGGGTGGTAAATGCAGCAGTGAGGAGACGGTTGGAGGCAGTGGAGATGTCCTGTCTAAGGGCAATGTGTGGTGTAAATATTATGCAGAAAATTCGGAGTGTGGAAATTAGGAAAAGGTGTGGAGTTAATAAAAGTATTAGTCAGAGGGCAGAAGAGGGGTTGTTGAGGTGGTTTGGTCATTTAGAGAGAATGGATCAAAGTAGAATGACATGGAAAGCATATAAATCTATAGGGGAAGGAAGGAGGGGTAGGGGTCGTCCTCGAAGGGGTTGGAAAGAGGGGGTAAAGGAGGTTTTGTGGGCGAGGGGCTTGGACTTCCAGCAAGCGTGCATGAGCGTGTTAGATAGGAGTGAATGGAGACGAATGATACTGCAAAAACAGTGATAATGTGTGAGTGTGGTGAAAGTGTTGAATGATGATGAAAGTATTTTCTTTTTGGGGATTTTCTTTCTTTTTTGGGTCACCCTGCCTCGGTGGGAGACGGCCGACTTGTTGAAAAAAAAAAAAAAATACTGAAATCCTCCAGTTTTTCATTAAAACCATTATGGTATTTAGGCTACATATTTCTCTGTAAAAGAATTTATGTAGTTTTGTCAATTTCCAGTGCAGATATGTTAGAAATATAATTTGAAAAGTACAGATTGGATATACTTATATGAAGGGTTAGCAGTTATTTGTAATTTAATATTTCTATTTAAGAAGCAAGGGGCTAGTGACCCCTTCTCCTATATACATTACTAAAGCTAAAAAGAGAAACTTTTGTTTTTCTTTTTGAGTCGACCTGCTTCCGTGGGATATGGCCAGTTTGTTGAAAGAAGAAGAAGAAAGATTTCTATTTAAAAATACTGTCTGGAATTTCTTAATTACATATATTCTTTTGCAAAAAAAAAAAAAAAAAAATGAAAATTTTGTACATACTTGGTTAAATTGCATGTACTTTGTTCTGTATTCCTGTATGCCATAATGATGTAGTGTGTTTCAAATAATTACTATTACTGTACTTCTTGTATTATTATTATGTACTTATATGTATAATTTTAATGCCATTATTGCTGTGAGTTTTTAATTTGCATGTTGTCGCACAGGACAGGCATACACATATATGCATATATGTATTAGCAGATTTAAGTGCTTGGTGAATTTCCTTTGTAATATAAAAAGTTTGATGCTTTTACAGTAGTAAATTCATTTGTTATGTTTTAAATATTTTTTTCATTTTAGTTGATTTTAGTGCGATAAGAGTGAAATAAGAACTTTTCCTCTTAGAAGTGTACGCAAATACTGAATGGTTGGGTTGCATTTTTTACCTTTTCATAAGCGTGGAGAGTTGAGGCAAATTGACAGCTTTGCTAGTAGATCAAGCCTTCAGGAACACCATAGAAACCCCAAGGTAATGAACTGTAGCCTGCATGTTACTACTGGAACTGTAATTAATTCCAGAGTGATGATACAGTATGATTGTTACATGAATGCAAAATCAGCTGCTTCTTTTATTGTTTAGATTAGTGCTTTTCAGTCAGGTTGACCTGGTTAACTGGGGTGACCTGGTTAATTCGGGTGATCCAGGGTGATCTGGTTAACTCGGGTTATCTGGGGTGACCTGGTTAACTAGGGTGATCCAGGGTGACCTGGTTAACTGGGGTGATCCAGGATGGCCTGGTTACCTGGGGTGATTCATTAGCTGAGGTGACCTGGTTAGCTGAGGTGGTTCAGGGTGACCTGGTTAACTTGGGTGATCTGGGGTGACCTAGTTAACTCGGGTGATCCAGGGTGACCTAGTTAGCTGGGGTGATCCAGGGTGACCTGGTAAGCTGGGGTGAACTGGTTAGCTGTGGTAATCCGGGGTGACTTGGCTTGACCACTTTTGTTTGTATACCAGTCATATACCTCTTGGAAAAAAGTATTTTTTACTTGGGTCATTGTTGAAACTAAGCAATGGAGCTGCCTCCTATTCTTCGATACACTAATGTGAGGTGATGTCAGAGAAGAGATCACTCCTTAGGATAAGCAGATACATAAAACACAACACAAAAAGCCATCAACTGAAAGATGAACACTTGTGTCAAATGAATGGTTGTTTTTATTTTATATAGCATGGTTTGTTCTAACTTTATGATAGACACCATATACTTTGACATTTGATACAATTTAAAAATTTGTAATAAATTATAGTTTTTTTTAACAAGTCGGCTGTCTCCCACCGAGCCAGGGTGACCCAAAAAGAAAGAAAATCCCCAAAAAGAAAATACTTTCATCATCATTCAACTCTTTCACCTCACTCACACATAATCACTGTTTTTGCAGAGGTGCTCAGAACACAACAGCTTAGAAGTATATATGTATAAAGATACACAACATATCCCTTTAAACTGCCAATATCCCGAACCCCTCCTTTAGAATGTAGGCATTGTACTTCCCATTTCCAGGACTCAAGTCCAGCTATATAAAAATAACCGGTTTCCCTGAATCCCTTCACTAAATATTACTCTGCTCACACTCCAACAGATCGTCAGGTCCCAAATACCATTCGTCTCCATTCACTCCTATCTAACATGCTCACGCACGCCTGCTGGAAGTCCAAACCCCTCACCCACAAAACCTCCCTTACCCCTTCCTTCCAACCTTTTCGAGGACGACCCCTACCCCGCCTTCCTTCCCCTACAGATTTATACACTCTCCATGTCATTCTACTTTGATCCATTCTCTCTAAATGACCAAACCACCTCAACAACCCCTCTTCAGCCCTCTGACTAATACTTTTATTAACTCCCCACCTTCTCCTAATTTCCACACTCCGAATTTTCTGCATAATATTTACACCACACATTGCCCTTAGACAGGACATCTCCACTTCCTCCAACCACCTCCTCGCTGCTGCATTCACAACCCAAGCTTCACACCCATATAAGAGTGTTGGTACTACTATACTTTCATACATTCCCTTTGCCTCCATAGATAATGTTTTTTGTCTCCACATATACCTCAACGCACCACTCGCCTTTTTTCCCTCATCAATTCTATGATTAACCTCCTTCATAAATCAAAAACATAATTTTATTTTTAATCCACACACCAAAGTGGAGCAGGGGTATTATATTTAGATGATTACAAGGATTTTTGTGGATTATGAGCATTCTTATTATCATGTGGGCTAGAATGCAAAGGAGAAAATGAAATAGCCAGTTTTCTTTATTTTGTGTGTGCATGCATGTGTGCTCATCTATCTGTACTTGCCTATATGGGGTTACAAGGGTTGGTTCTCAGATCCTGGCCCTGCTCTTAACTTGGCACTTCTCATAGTCTCTCCCTCTTAGCCTCGTGGGCCCTTGTCATACCTGCTCTTAAAACTATGTGTAGAGCTTGCCTCCACCACTTCTTCATCGAGGTTATTTCAGTTCTGACCACTCTTAAGATTGAAGAAATACTTCCTAACATCTCTTTGGCTCATTTGTGCCTTTAACTTCCAATAGTGTCCCTGAGTTCCCTTTTCTTGCCTTTCAAACAACCTGTCTCTGACTGCCTTATCAATTCCCTGGGTATTTTGTATGTTATGCCCCCCTGGTTCTTTTGTCCTCCAATGTTGTGAGGTCCAGTTCCATTAGCTTCAGCCTCTCCACATAGCTCATGCCCCTTAGCTCAGGAACAAGCCTTGTTGCACACTTCTGCACTTTTCTAGTGACTCTGTTCAGACTCCGGAAGGCTACTCTTAGATTTGCCAGATGAGCATTGGCTGCAGAGGTTATCTGGCTGAAGTGAGCCTCTGCCTTTATACTGGAAACTATGGTTTCCCCTAGGTCTTTTTTTCTGAGTGAAGTCTACAGCCTCTGTTACTCTAGTCTGTACCCTGTTTTCAGTCTTTTTGTCTTTTTCCCCAGTCTTCATAGCCTTGCATTTACTTGGATTGAATTCAAGGAACCACTTATCTGATGTTTGGTTGGCCTCATAATGAAGGTTCCCTAGGTTGTGATGTGTGGTCAGTCTTGTAATGGTTGTACCCTAGGTTGTGAGAAAACTTTTGAGGGGTTTGTAACCCAATCCAAAAAAGGTTGAAAAGCACTGGTTTAAAATAATAAATATTTAGGATAACTAATACCTTGTAGATAAAACTTTAGAATTTGTGTCACTGCAGTGCATGTCTTGTCATTTTGCCACATGCTGTATATATTATAATATTAATTTGTTATATTTTATGGTTCTTTTGTATCTTTGTGTGTGTGCATGTTATATTTATTGTAAATGTTTTTCATGTTGAATGTTAAAGTTCATCTGTAAAGTTCATATTAAGGTCAAAATTTTCAATTTTTTTTTTTTAACCCAATGCATTGGCTGTAGCCAACCGACAGGGTGAGCTAAAAAGAAAAACGAAAGTTTCTCTTTCAAAATTTGGTAATTTATACAGAAGGAGTTACTAGCCCCTTGCTCCCGGCATTTTAGTCGCCTCTTATGACATGCATGGCTTACAGAGGACCCATTCTATTCCACTTCCCCATGGAGATAAGAGGGGAAAAAAAAAGAACAAGAACTATTGAGAAAAGAGAAGGAAACCCAAAGAGTTTGTATATATGTATATGCATGTGCAGTGTGACCTAAGTGCAAGTAGAAATAGCAAGATATACCTGGTGTCCCACGTGTTTGAGACAAAAAAGACACCAGCAATCCTACCGCCTACCATCATGTAAAACAGTTACAGGTTTCTGTTTTACACTCACTTGGCAGGACAGTAGTACATCTCTGGGTGGTTGCTGACTTCCATCCTACTACGTAGGAATTTAATTTTTAGTAGAATGAAATTTAAATAAATTTGGAAGAAATAAGTTGTCTTGTCAGCTCCACATACTTTCAAGATGTGATAGTCCTCAAATTATGGAAACAGGTCACATTACTTGGCTTTACTGGGTTATTCTGGGTTAAAAATCTATATACAGTGGACCCCCGGTTAACGATATTTTTTCACTCCAGAAGTATGTTCAGGTGCCAGTACCGACCGAATTTGTTCCCATAAGAAATATTGTGAAGTAGATTAGTCCATTTCAGACCCCCAAACATACACGTACAAACGCACTTACATAAATACACTTACATAATTGGTCACATTCGGAGGTAATCGTTATGCGGGGGTCCACTGTATTTTAGTGTGCTTTTGACTGAATTCTGTTATCAGTATCATGAAATTGTAATAAATTTGGAACAAATGAGGCATCTTCCTGCCAGCTTTGTACACTAATGGCTGACAGGGCAGCTGATGGTGGTAACACTGGTCCTGGTTGCATTGCTTACTTGTGCCTCCAAGGTATAGTTTCCCATGATGCACTGCGTGGATCTGCCTGGTCCTAGAGTTTTTTGTAGATACAAGGTGGTGGTAGGCAACCAAGTCTGTTGAACTGAGGCCTAAAATGGCAACAGCTGGCAGAAATGAAGCCATGAAAACTATGCACATTAGTGCATTGTATACAGGATTGGTCCTCTGCATTCTAGTACATTATACACAGTTGAGGTTGGTATCCAAATGATTATACTAAGGAAAGGGGTGGTACATTATTATTATTATTATTATTATTATTATTATTATTATTATTATTATTATTATTATTATTGTTATTATATTCATGGGGGAGGGGGCTAAACACATAGAGGTTAATCAGTTTCTGGGCAGGCTACTTGATATGAAATGAAGTATAAATATGACAATCCTTGATAATAGGGTGCTTCAGTTTCACCTTGTGAGCTGGTATTCAATCTTTGTGACCACAGTAGGTGAGTGTACACATTCATGTGCAGGTTGTCAGTGTGTACAGACCCAAGGAGTGTTTGCTATGTTAGAAATATAAAAAAAAATATATAAAAAGCAGGTAAGTATAGAGATTGACTTTAAAGAATACTGTTGGTTTAGAAAGACACGTACGCAAACACTATAACATATTTATTAGAAAACGTTTCGGTCCTGGTACCGAAACGTTTTCTAATAAATATGTTATAGTGTTTGCTTACGTGTCTTTCTAAACCAACTTGTCGGTATTTATTACCAAGGTTTATACCAAAGAATACTGTACAGTATTTGTCATTTCTTTCTGCATTACGTACTTTTATTTTTTAAATACATAAATTGACCTTCCTTGGTAGTAGGTTGGTAGACAGCAACCGTCCAGGGAGGTACTACCGTCCTGCCAAATGAGTGTAAAATGCAAACCTGTAATTGTTTTATATGATGGTAGGATTGCTGGTGTCTTTTTTTCTGACTCATGAACATGCAAGATTTCAAGTACATCTTGTTACTTCTACTTACACTTAGGTCACATTACACATGCATGTACAAGCATATATATACACACACCCCCCTCTGGGTTTTCTTTTATTTTATTACTAGTTCTTGCTCTTGTTTATTTCCTCGTATCTCCATGGAGAAGTGGAACAGAATTCTTCCTCCATAAGCCAAGCGTGTCGTAAGAGGTGACTAAAGTGCCAGGAGCAAGGGGCTAGTAACCCCTTCTCCTTTTTTTCTTTTTAGGTCACCCTACCTTGGTGGGATATGGCCAGTTTGTTAAAAAAAATTGATCTTATGTTATAGAAAAGATTTTTTAGAAGATTAAATTAAATTCATTTCAGTGTGACTCATGGTTGACTGCTGAGTGTAGGAAGGATATAATTAATCCAGGAGATTGGTATAAAGTAGGAATGAGAGGACAGTCTGAAAATCAGCAAGAAGATAAGAAGGATAAAAGCCCTCCACCTAAGATACTAAAGTCAGAATGTTCTTTATTTGATCTGTACTTAAGGAAATGGGCTTTACCCAAGAAGACTGCAAGGCATAGACTCTTCCGCGTAGGTTATTTTGAATTAGGCATAGCTTTTATGTTAGTACTGTAGATATTGACATATTATATGCTTAGGATGTGTAAAATTGCATGTGTATTTAACCCTTTGACTGTTTCGGCCGTATATATATGTCTTATGAGTCAGTGTTTCTGATGTATATATGCTCAATAATTCTAGCGGCTTCAAATCAAGCAGGAGAAAGCTGGTAGGCCCACATGTGAGAGAATGGGTCTGTGTGGTCAGTGTGCACTGTATAAAAAAATTCCTGCAGCACGCAGTGCATAATGAGAAAAAAAACTCCGACCGTGTTTTTGGATTAAAACGCCGACTTTGAGATGTATTTTCATATAGTATTTATGGTTGTATTCTCGTTTTCTTGGTCTCATTTGGTAGAATGGAAAACATATTACAGAAATAGAGATGATTTTGATTAGTTTTACGATGAAAACGACTTTGAAATTGAGCTCAAATTAGTGAAAATGTTCGATTTTTACCAATGTTCAAGAGTAAGCAAATCACACCACACATCCAATACACATCAACTGGGGAGTCTAATATTCTTTCACTAATGCACTGATATTATTTATACCATTTTTTTACAATAATGCAGTAGTCTGCATAACAGTAAGTATTCTAATTTTTTGTGTGAACACAAAATCAAAATAGAAAGCAAGAATAATATAAGAGGAGCCTGAAGACTTAACTATTGAACAGAGAATATGTTATTTTAGTGTCATTATTGTTTATTCTGGACCCTATTTTGAAATTGGCATCTTTTTTAATTTGCATGAAATTGGCCAAATTGCCAGATTCTGACCACTTTATTGGGTAGTTGAGATTGGCAAATGGCTGGTTTCTTGTACTCAATTGATAGAAAAAATGGAGTTCTAAAGAAATAGCTATGAGTGTGGTTGACTGGAACAACGGAATTGGCGGAAAATAGGGCTCAAAGTCGGCAAAATCGCCAATGAGTATATATCGCCGAGATTGCTAACTTCGCGGGAGCACAATACCAAAAGTTTTTGATCAAATTTTGTACTTTTGGTGTCATTGCATCGGGAAAAGATTCGCTATCATTTGACAAGAAAAAAATATTTTTTTTTTTCCATAAATTTTGCAACGTAGAATGACAGTTTCAGAAATGGGCTTGCAACAGTCAAAGGGTCAATTTTACTTCTGACCATTGATGTCAGTTTAAGATTGTAGAACCTTAAAAACTTGTACAGTAGAGTACATTAACATTGGAACCTCTGTTAACAGCACATGTCTATTCCTGGATATTTTTAGTCAGAAGAATTTGGCAGAAAGCTGAGGCCTCCCCCCAACCCAAGACTTGTATCAAGAACCACCAATTGTAATAGGATGCCATAAGTAACGAGCTTCAGTGTGACCTTGAACTTTGGAAAGAAAGAATTCATCGTATGGTAGAGGCAGGCTCTGTGGTGCTACCCTTGAGATTTATAGGGAGATATTTTATAATTAATAATTTTTTTAATGAACTGGCCATATCACACTGAGGCAGGATGACCTGAAAAGAGAAACGAAAGTTTTTCTTTTTAAATTTTAGTCGTCTCTTATGACATACATGGCTTACGGAGGAAGAATTCTTCTCCACTTCTCCGTGGAGAATTAATAATGTGTTTAACCCTTTCAGGGTCCGTCCCGTAGATCTACGGCTTTACGTTCAGGGTCCAAACCGTAGATCTACGCCATGAGCTCAGCTCACTCTGATAAACTGTGAGTGGTACATTTGGGCCTAGATATGAGAGAATACATCTATGTGGTATGTGTGCACCACATAAAACAGATCCTGCAGCACACTGTGTATAATGAGAGAAAAAAACTTAAATCATGATTTTTCGATTAAAACAGCAACTTTGCAGTGTTTTTTCGTATGTTTTTTATAGTTGTATTTGCGATTTCTTGGTCTCATTTGATAGAATGGAAGACATATTACAGAAATAGAGATGATTTTGATTGGTTTTAGCACTGGAAATGGCTTGAAACTGAGCTCAAAGTAGCGGAAATGTTAAATTTTTGCCGATATTCAAGAGTAAACAAACGACCTCACACGTCTAATACACGTCAGCTGGTGGGTCTAATATACATTCACAAATATGGTGATGATATTTATACAATTATTACAGTATTGCATAACAGTAAATCTTCTATTTTTTGGTGTGAATAAAAATTCATTATGTGAATAAAAAATCAAAATGGAATTTATTTTTTAAAGCCTCAAAACATAATAATGAACAGAGGAAACGTTAGTTTAGTGCCAGGAATGCCTACATTGTTTATTCTGGACCCTATTTTGAAATTGGAATATTTTGAACTTTGTGTTAAATTGGCCAAATTAACAATTTCCGATCACTTTATTTTGTAGTTGAAACAGTTGACTTGGCGATTTCTTGTGCTCAATCGATAGAATAGAAGTAATACTAGTGAAATAGCTAAGAATTTGGTTGATTGGAATAATGTAATTGGCCTAAAATGGGAGTCAAAGTCGGCAAAATCGCCGATTCGTAAATGTCGCTGACACATCAAAATTCGCGAGAGCATAATTTCGTCAATTTTCCACCAAATTTCGTACTTTTTGTTTTATTACCTTCACAAAAAGTTTCTCTATGATTTCATAAGAAAAAATAACAAATTTTTTTTTTGAAAATTCTTGGACACTGGTGCGTGACTCCAGATTTGGGCCTTGGACCCTGAAAGGGTTAAATAATAGTGCTAGGCAACACATATTGTAAACTATAGTACAGTAATACCCTGAGTTTCGTACAGCTCCCAACTTGAACAATTATGTAAGTATATTATTGTAAGTGTTTTTGTAAGTGCATTTTTGGGGATCTGAAATGGACTAATCTAATTTACATTATTCCTTATGGGAACAAATTCGTTCGGTAATGGCACTCGAACAGCCTTCTGGAATGAATTATGGTCGAAACTCGGGGTACCACTGTAATAATAATAATACAGTGGTCCCTCGTTTTTCGTAATTAATCCGTTCCTGGAGGAGCTACTATAAACGAAATTTACGATTTGCGAATCAATTTTCCCCATAAGAAATAATGTAAATACAATTAATCCGTTCCTGACACCCAGAAGTATTAAAACAAAAAAAATTTTTACATGAAATATACATGTAGTACATAAACAGTACAATGGGAAATGATGAATGAAACATTAACAGCATAACGCTTACCTTTATTGGAGATTCTTCTTAGTGTATGGGAGATGGAGGAGGAGAGAGATTGGATTGTTTACAGTTCGGAAGGGGAATCCCCTTCTAGCAACACCTCAGGTACCAATTGCTTTTCTGGGGTTACTTCTCTTCTCTGTTCCTTAATGCCACTAGGACCACCATGAGAGTCACTGGAGTCCTGTCTCGCAAAATAACTGGAGAGAGAACTCTGTTTCTGGCGTCTCTTTAACACTTCCCTAAAATGGCCCAAGACTTTGTCACTGTACATATTTCTCACCTTCTTTACCACAGGCTTGGCACTAGGAGCTTTCTTTCGAGCCATGGTAGCTTATTTAGTACTTGCAAGCACTAAAATGAGTGGAATATTATGAAATATTTCGTAGGAGCACTTGAGGGGACCTTCACTCACTGGTAAACAATGCCAAACTGGCTGGGTAGGGAGGCCTCCCCGGCTCACACCGTGCTTACGCGTCCTGGACAAACTACTATTCGCGAGTCAACCTATGAAAAGCAAGTCCATGTTTATACGAAAATACCCCTATGATTGGCGAAATTTACGATTGCCGAGAACTACGAAAAGCGAGGGACCACTGTACATGTATTTTTATTTACTACAGGTACATGTACATGTACATGTACATGTCCTGGCTTTAAGTGAAACAAAGCTGAAGGGGGTGGGAGAGTTTCAGTGGAGAGGAATAATGGGATTAGGTCAGGGGTTTCAAATAGAGTTAGAGCTAAAGAAGGAGTAGCAATAATGTTGAAGGATAAGCTATGGCAGGAAAAGAGGGACTATAAATGTATTAATTCAAGGATTATGTGGAGTAAAATAAAGATTGGATGTGAAAAGTGGGTTATAATAAGCGTGTATGCACCTGGAGAAGAGAGAAGTGTAGAGGAGAGAGAGAGATTTTGGGAAATGTTGAGTGAATGCGTGGGGAGTTTTGAATCAAGTGTGAGAGTAATGGTGGTTGGGGATTTTAATGCTAAAGTGGGTAAAAATGTTATGGAGGGAGTAGTAGGTAAATTTGGGGTGCCAGGGGTAAATGTAAATGGGGAGCCTTTAATTGAGCTATGTGTAGAAAGAAATTTGGTAATAAGTAATACATATTTTATGAAAAAGAGGATAAATAAAATATACAAGGTATGATGTAGCACGTAATGAAAGTAGTTTATTAGATTATGTATTGGTGGATAAAAGGTTGATGGGTAGGCTCCAGGATGTACATGTTTATAGAGGGGCAACTGATATATCGGATCATTATTTAGTTGTAGCTACAGTTAGAGTAAGAGGTAGATGGGAAAAAAGAGGAAGGTGGCAACAACAAGTAAGAGGGAAGTGAAAGTGTTATAAACTAAGGGAGGAGGAAGTTCGGGGTGAGATATAAGCGACTATTGGCAGAAAGGTGGGCTAGTGCAAAGATGAGTAGTGGGGGGGTTGAAGAGGGTTGGAATAGTTTTAAAAATGCAGTATTAGAATGTGGGGCAGAAGTTTGTGGTTATAGGAGGGTGGGGGCAGGAGGAAAGAGGAGTGATTGGTGGAATGATGAAGTAAAGGGTGTGATAAAAGAGAAAAAGGTAGCTTATGAGAGGTTTTACAAAGCAGAAGTGTTATAAGAAGAGCAGAGTATATGGAGAGTAAAAGAAAGGTAAAGAGAGTGGTGGAGAGAGTGCAAAAGGAGAGCAGATGATAGAGTGGGAGAGGCACTGTCAAGAAATTTTAATGAAAATAAGAAAAAATTTTGGAGTGAGTTTAAACAAGTTAAGAAAGCCTAGGGAAAATATGGATTTGTCAGTTAAAAACAGAGTAGGGGAGTTAGTAGATGGGAGATGGAGGTATGGGTAGATGGCGAGAATA